AAATTCGGACATCAGGCAGGTGAACATAGAGGGGGAGCTGCAGTGATCGGACTGGTGCTTCCTTTGAAGCACACTGGTGATTAAGTGTTTTGTTGTACCTTATAGTTAGCCGTTAGCTGGGGCTTACTGTGGCTCAGGAGGTCGTCCGCTGATTGAAGCGTCAAAGTCATAAAGTGTCCTTGGGAAGATACTGAACCCAAGTTGTGAAGTGCTTCGGATAAAATGCGGCCAGTTGGCTAGTGTAATAATGCATTTGTCAGGTTAGCTTTATAAATGGCTAACAATGCAGAAGTTGCAAATATGCTGATTCTGCAAAAGTAATTTTTTGTCTCGGAGGTATTTGTTTCTGAAACGTTGCCTGAAAATATCAAGAATGTTCATCTATTTGCAAATTTACCTGCCAGGAAATTTCTGTGTTTATGTGTGTGTGTGTGTGTGTGTGTGTGTGTGTGTGTGTGTGTGTGTGTGTGCAGGAGATTGATAAAGAAGCCAAACTCTCACAAAATGTTCTGTGTAGAAGAAGTTTGGTTGGACTGTCAGTCATCTTTCTGTTTACTGAGTTGAACCCCAGACTGCAGTAATGCAGAAAAATGATTGTATGAAAATTCCCATCAGCTGTTCACAGTATCACAGGTGCCAGTCGTGATTATTTCAGCCCAAATTAGACCCTGTTATACCCACACTACTACCATCAACTCTATTTAAAAACTGAACTCAGTGATGGATCCTAATGAACTTCCTTCATCGTCTACCTTATATTAGTGAGTGGTTAGGGCGCATATCACGTGGGCTCTTATGCCCTGGGTGGCGTGTTCCCGGTTCGGGTCCCAGCTCTCCGGACCATTTGCTGCATGTCATTCCCTGGCTGTCGCTCTCTGCATTTCCTGTCTGTCTCCGATGAATAGAGGCATAAAATTCACACAGAGTAACTTGAGAAAACAAAGAAGTTTGACTGAAGAAGGCTGAAGAAGCCTGTGTTAGATGTTTAGCTTGATGGCCTTAATTAAATGTTGTCCAGTGTATTCCTGTGTTAGGCTTGAGGCGATATCCAAAATGTAATATCTCTGTACAGTTGAGGCCAAATATCGCGAAATACGATGTTATCGTATGATCGTACTTTATGTTTGAGGTACAAGCGATGCTGCCGCGAAACAGCAGTTCAAAGTTTTATTTGTCATATGCGGAGATATTATGAAAAATATTGCACATGGCGAGAAAATATCACGATAGTTGATATTATCGAACATTGGCCCAAGCCTACGTTTAACAGCCTACCACCGGGGTTTTTTTTTTGGGGGGAGGATTTCTGGCGCACAACAAATGCCTCCCTGGGTGAAAACATCATCACTGAATTTGTTAAATCACAATTTGACTGTTAACGGTGCATTATTAATCGTAAAAACGCCCTCCCTAATGAGTGCAGCGTCTATGAATGGCCTCATTGGTGTATCCAGATCAGGTCCACTTTGATCAAACTGTGAAACAACTCAATACAGTGGGAGCTTTGACTCAAGTGTTGCCAGAAAGCCCTCCCTGCAGATCCGAATGGCAGAAGGCCACGGGGATGTGCTCGCAGGCTGTCGTTACAGCAAAAAAAAAAGAGGGGGGGGTGGCCTTTAGCTAAAGAAAACAAAAGGAGAAGGAGAGAAATAAATAAATAAAACAACGATGGCTACTTATTTATTTAGTAATGAACTTTCTGCAGATGTGCAGAGCTCAGTGGAGGAGGTAGATTAACAGAAAAGAGCACAGTCGAATGTTTTACACAAAGTTTTGCAGGTTATCGCGAATAAAAATGCTTTTTGTGATTATTGGTGAAATATAATATTTGTCCGTCAAAACCTCTTAAACCTTCTACTTGGACTTATAATTCGACGAATACATAAATGGCAACGAGGCCATCAATCCTCCAGCTTCTAGTAAACCTGCATGAAATAAAGCTGGCGTGTCATAAACGGCTGTTTTTGTTCTACGTGGAACAATAAAGCCTCATAGAGGTTCAAAGAATCTGACTCCGTGCAGAGCCAGGTGGAAGACGCCAGAGAAGAAACGGGGATTTTAGAAGAGCAGCATTAGTTATAGAGACAGGAGTATAGCAAGCTGAAAGGAAGGTGGAATAGGAATGCTTTCTGTTATGAATAGGATAGAGGACAGAGATGGAGAGGAAGGGAGAAAGAGATTGAAAGAGGAGGGCAAACTGCAAGTGAGGCTCAGCAGGAGGAGAGAGGAAGAGGAGGAGGACAGAGGGAATAGTAAAAGAGGCAATGCAGAGTAGAGGACGGGAGGAGGGAATGCAGGGAATGGAGAGACTCCCTGAGAAATACAGCTATAGTCTGGATGATAAGGTAGATCTGAATATCTTTGTGCCAAATGTTTCCAGGAAGTGCCGTCCTTAAAAGAACAAAACTTTATGTCTTCACCCTGAGAACATGCAGCATGGGTCCAGTGGGACAAGAAACACGAGCAGCCGGGAAGTAAAACAGGTTGTAAACAAAAACCTCCGGATTAGTCAGATTTATTTGGAACATAAAACGAGAGTAAGATTTTTTTTTTTTTTATCCAAACTCATGTCATGTTTTGCACATTGTCTCCATGTTTTCAGTTTCACTCTACCGGCCCCTCCCCCCGTGCCCTGTTTCCCACCTGATCTTCCTCCCCCTAATGACACACCTGTCTCCTCTTCTATAATTAGTCCCCTCCGTGTATAAATATATATATATATATATATATATATATGTGTGTGTGTGTGTATACCTGCCAGTTTCACTCACCATGTGCCAGATTGTCTTTGTGCATTCAGCCAAGCTTTTTACCCGTTTCCTTATTCCTAATTTACTCCTTTTGTGCCATCGCTCGCCTGGTTTGTAACTGTTATTAACTGTTGGGCTTTTGGGTCGTGATGTTTTCTGAGCTGTGCTAATGCAACAGCAAGATTTAGGAGAGATTGTCAGCGACATTTTTCACCCAGCTTAAGTTTACCTGCAAACCAAGACTTGCGTTAATATTGAGCGGTTTTGCACCAACAATTTATGTCAACTTTCAGTGCGAAGGCAGGAAGTAGTGTCGACTATATGCAGCGAAGTGGAAAGTAAGGTCGAGGGAAGGATGAGCATGTAGGACATTCATGCATTAGACCAGAATGTACCTTCATTGTATTATTAACAGTAGCTACAGTCTTTCCTTTAACCACACTGACACTGTCGTGCACTGACATTGTAAAAAACCAGCTTTAACCTGGTCGACGTGACCGGAGAGGTTCCACGGTCACATTGGACTTCATTAGTGTTGGACAGAGAGTTTTCATTTAATGAAACAAAACCCTCACTCCTCTATAGCCGTGCCCTGCCATTTTCTCCGTGGGCATACCAGTTGTAAAATGAGAGTTCTGAGCAGCCAACCTCTGTAAACAAGCTGCTTTGGCTTCAGCACTGTTTCTACAAACAGAGTCCAGTGCTTGTGTAAGCCGGGGGGAATCCAGCCGAAGCGATGCATCATCAGTTCAGTCGAACAGACAAAATTAATGTAATGCATCATTCCTGGTCCTATAGACAAACATTAATAAATTCTATAATGAATACATAATCAATAAAGCCGCATCACACCTATCATTTCAAAAGCAACAACGCTAACTGGACGACATGCACTTTTATAAAAGGTCGATATCAGCCCTTTATAATAGAAACCCAATTTATCAGTGGAGAGCACTCTACTACTGCACTTGTTTTCCAACTGTGAATCATTTATCATGCAAAGTACTTGAGTTCTCTGGTGTATTCGGCCATATGGGAACATCGTGATGCACTTTATTTCACGGACTTTCATGAGGGAAGGAGGAGGAGACAGGAAGGAGGAGGGAGAACAGCGCTGTCTATGACTTCCTCGAGCTCTTTAAGCCCTCAAGAAGAACAATGATTCCTTCCTCTAAAGCTGCTGCAGCACTCCAGCACAGACAATACCACAGAGAGGTGTTTGGCAGGGAGAGATGGAGGAAGTAATAGCCGCAATGTGTTGCCGAACACATTACCTTTCATAGAAAGAGCCGTGTGGAAATCCGGCTATCTGCTCAATGCACACTTGAGAACCAGCGACCGTCAAATGAATGACGGTAGAGGTTAAAACAGCGTTGATGACAAATACGTGTATATATAATATTGATGAACTGAAAAGGGCTTATTATAAGCTACTATTCAAAGTGACAAATGTGCAAAGCAACAGAAACAGTGGGGGTCAAAATGAGCTATTTAGGAAAACATTGTCAGTCTCTTCTCTCGCCATCATGACTTAACGCTTGGAGACAGGAAGTTGGCTTTGTTTCTTAAATATGGTTTCGGTTAGAGGACACGGACGAGAACCAATAAAGGGCCAAGCCTCAATAAAGTTTATTGTGCGTGCATCATATCCACCTCAATAACACCTCAGGCCCAGTAATTAAATAAAGATTCACCTGATTTGTTCAAATGAAATTCCGCTCTCAGTGTGATTAGTGATAGGAAATCTTATGAGTCCTATCCAAAGGATCGTCATTGTCTCCCTGGTGTGACACCACTAAAGTTGTTAATCTTGTACGTTGTGTTAACCCACAAAGCTTTTGACATTTCAAAAATCCCTCTGATTATCCGAAAGCTAGATCTTTGATCATTCAGGCAATTAATCAGGTTCCATGACGCCCCTCAAACTGCACGAGAAACAAGAGCAGATCTGATGTGGTCTAACTCTGGAGACCGGTCTTACATATCTTTGTGAAACCAGTCAAGCCTCTGATTAGTAAGATGTGTGGGTGGTTCAATTGAAGTGAGAAAACCATTGATTTTCACATGTTTTGATCCAGTATGCATAATCAATGAATATTGTACTTCCAAAGTTGAACTCTGACACGTCGGTGGATCATGTGCGAGCTAGTCAAGGACGACGCATCCAAATCAAAAGGCAACAGAGATTGAGGTATATAAAAATGAAAAGAGATTCACAGCTATTCAGTGTGACAATGATAGTTGCCTTACCCCGTGCGTATCCGCTCACAGGCCTTCGGCGGCGTTCAGGCTTCCATCATTGCGGCTGTGAACAGAAACAATTGCAGTTAGATATTTCCAAAAGAAGAGACCACACACAAGATTTACCATTCGGACTCAGGACAAGCAATTTCTCACTTACGGATCCATTTGAAAATCCACTTAATCATTTCAAGTCATATGCATGAGGAGGGAGTATTTTTCCTACTGACACATTGACACTCGACGTAGCGAGAGAAGTTCTGGATGGTTAAAGGCAAAGATTTTGACCGCAGTTCCTTGGATTAAGGCTCCTTTAAGCTGTTTAAAAGTACTTGACCTTCAGTCACTCTACAGAGCTCCAGCTCACAATTCAGTTGGCACTATTGTTTTGATCATTTCTCAACAGGTTGAACAGACCTTCAATCACTCTTTCATCAAAGGTTGTTCAGCTTCCACCTATAATGACACCTGAGAAACTCTTGAATGGCTCCAGTGCCTCGCGGGGTCTGCTTCTCTTTCTGCAGCTGCTCTGGGTCAGGCAGTCAGGTTTTGTTATTGAGAATTCACTTCGTATTCATTATGGACGGAACAGGGAGAGGGAGATACTGTATGGTAGGCCGAGGAGATTGTATTCACGAGGCGCACAACGTTGCCAGAGGGATGGGGAGAGCAAATACTTCATGCATTACATTATGATGACAAAGTTATTGTTTTGTGTTATAGCCCCGCTTTGCACATTCTGAAGTTATTCTGCATGGATGTTTCTTTGGTTCAAGTCAAAGAGGAACTTATTTTTGGTGGTTTACAGCGCTCGGAGGTTCTAATATCACAAATGTGAAATGGTTTAAAGTGAATCTGTGATGTTAACTTGCTCCGATCAATTCAAAATTCAATCAGTTATTCAAAAATGCTTCCTTTTTTTTTTTTTTTTTTAAAAATCAGCTGTCTGCATCGAAGATTTAAAGAACCATTCTATATATTACTATGTATTTATCTGCATAACCAACCCATAATCATCACTGGGTCGAATCTGACACATAACACAGATGTAGCTTTTATTATAGGCGTTTAAAAAAAAATAAGAATATTCATCAAAATGTCCTGAATACAACAAGAGGGTTAAAGCTTTGCCACGGAGCTTCAGGTGAAAACCTCATTCTACAAACACAAGTCACTGGCAAATATGATCTGAGGTCTAAGACTAAAGTAGCCCGAGTATAGGAACACAAAACAAATAGTTCAGGTCACAGGTCCTTTCTGGCAGGTAACCCAAAACCTCAAAATGCCTACACACAATGGGAGTAGTGTTGGCAAAGGTAGCTCAGCTTATTAGCCAAGTTAGCTATACTATGGCTACAAACAGAGAGAGCACACCCTCTCTAATGCCAGTATCATTAGCTCAGCTAGCTCACCTTATCAGCTAAGTTAGCTACATTATAGCTGCAAACAAAGATAGCACACCTTCTCTAATGCCAGTATCGTTAGCTAAGCTAGCTCAGCTTTTAAGCTAAGTTAGCAACATTATGGCTACAAACACAGACAGTACACCTTTACTAATGTCACGCTAATGAATAATGTAACTTTCACTTGTATTGTCTGAGAAGCTGCCAGAGCTAAAACCTCGTAGTCCTAAATTAGCATTGTTAGCTAACAACATGAAGCTAATGTTGCAAAGTTGTAGCAAAGTTGGTTTGCTTACGTTAGCTACCTTATTGTCATGGCTACAGCACAATCTCCCTTTATTTTAGTCTGTGTGTGTGTGCGTGTGTGTGTGTGTGTGTGTGTGTGTGTGTGTGTGTGTGTGTTTTGTCTCTTTGACAGTCAGTAAATCCATACCTGTCCTTTACACACCCTCACTGAGCTGCAAACCTCTACACACAAGTGAGATGTTGTTGCGTTGTTACTGATACTCTGTCATGTGTGTATTCTGGACTGAAAGCCTCACAAGTGTCTTCTTCTTTTTTTTTAAAAAATAATTTCTGCCATATGGAGACTATTTTTTGGCCACGGTTTGGACACCACTGTGATGGAACATGTCCACATTGATTGAAATTGAAAACCAGTCATTTTCCATTTTCCAGTGTTAATGCTGGTCAGGGTCACTGGCAGCAGGGCACACTGATTTTGCATTGTGGACAACTTTGACTGTACCTTATGTTCTTTTTCTCACTCGGTCAGTTTAGTTTGAAAATCAGGCTAATATTGAGCCGCCAAAGGAAATGACCCTTAAAGTGCCACTCCAAACCATTCAGCAGCCATAATATCAGTAGATCCGTAAAGCGGTGACTATTATATTGAAGCAGATTGAATGAGGACAAGACACAGTGCGAATCCTGTATATATTTTGAATCAAAAGAGCGACAGCAATATTTTTAGCTGTGGCGTTTAAAGCACGGGAAACAAACAGCCCTTATAAGCCTCTGTGGAACCTTTCATCTATTTTATATTACAGGGAGGCTAAATTAACTTCGCTGACTTTGTATTCGTTAAGAAAAGAACGAGTGGAGGTCAGCAGCGGTCTGCTTTCTCTGAGCCCCTGTCCCTTTAAAGACAATGACCTGACCAGCAGGGCGCCTTGGCTGCAGATGAGAAAGTGGTTATTTCCAGCACCCTCCTCATTTATTTGCGTACGTGTTTTAAGAGACCTAAAGCAGTGGGCTGGATGCCTGGGTGCCATGCTGATAAAGCAAGACGGGGGACTGCGAGCACTTTACCCAGGGCCCCTGAGTGAGTAGGGGGAGGAGGGTGTGGGAGAGGGGGGCTCAGACAGGTGATCAGGGCCAGGCGGTTACACTCGGGTGGATAACATGTCTTCAATGTTACTGATGGACTGCCCAACTGGCGCCCTGGCTGGCTGGCACCGTGCCCAGCGTTCTTCCACCGGCTGAGCGGCTGTATAGCTTGGATGACTGTTGTGAGAGCGAGAGGGAAAGTCAGGGGTGACAGACAGTCAGTCAGTCAGACAGACAGACAGACAGTCAGACAGACAGGTACAGACAGACAGACAGAGGCCACAGGCAAAGACAGACTTGAGATGAAGGGAACCACTGACGAACTCTGCTCTGTACACACTACTTTTTACTTTTTACACATTTGCTTTTCCACATTCTTCCTAATCCCTCACTGTGCATTTATTATTAATACTATTTTATAGAAGTTTTTACTGTTTCACTTATTTACCTCCTCTTTCCTAACTTGAGTGTGGAGCAATTGTAACAAAGGAATTTCCCTGCAGGGATAATTATGAACAAACTGGGTGGAATGTAATGGAGGACACAAAGTTAAACCCAGTTCACACAGACTTTAAATGGAGCTCTGAGGTCGATGCATCACTGAGGGCAGAGCGTAACGTCGAACTAAAGTCACATGAGGTGAAGACATTTTCCTGTTTTCTGTGTTAAATTGTTTTACATTTCCATTTATACTATTCTCACATGAGTATCTGCTGAGAAAATACACAAAATAAAAAAATTTAAATCTAGAAAATTGTTCTCATCATTATAATAATAATGATAATAATTTTTATTATTATTTTACAAAGCCTTCAGATCCATATGAACCAACTCAACTAGACCACACCCTCACACTCTATTATCTCTAAATAAATTCCAGACACGACCTGATCTGTCTTTTTCATTTCGGGTGCACGAGACTCCAGACCTCCTCCACGAGGAGACGTAATTGGACAGGCGGTTGCTTTTCTGATTGACCATTAGAGTGGATAAAATTAAGCCGATGCTTTCCACATCTGCCGGTACGTGAGGGTTTTGCGTGATGTACATTTCGTCATCGAGGGATCCACCGGTTTGTTATGTCGATGCGGTCACTGTTTCACCGTCTGTCCTGTTTCAGCAGGTCACCTGGTGCAGGTCCTGGACTTTACACTTTCTCGTTTGTAGAGGCATTTTGGGAAATTAATGGGACACTATTTGTGGCTTTCTAGTCCAACGGTTTTTCTTCCTGTGGGGAGCAAAATATTGTTGACATTGTTCTGTTTGTTCATATTAGCTTGTATCAGAATAATGTGTTTGTGTTCAGTTACACCCAGAACAGTCAGTTTGTGGTGTGTAGTTACTTCCTGATTTCCTGATACAGAAGTTGAGCAATGCTCAGTCTTTTATCCTATGGCATATCCATCTCTTTTTGTTCAACATTTCATCACTGCCGCAAACAAGCTACAATCGATTTCCATTTGAGATCCTGCGACTAAACGAATCTGTTAACAGACGAGCCTGACGGAGTCTGAAGAAAAGCTGCGACGCCGCTCTCCTGGAAGATCTCGTGCTAAACGTGCTCAGTCAGCCTCGAGCTACAGTCTGAAATATCAAAACAGGAAAAAGAAAATGGAGGGAAATGATGAGATTGCAGGGCTTAGAGCGCCAGGTATCAATTGACTCCCATTACGTGAAAGCTGAACCAGTAACATTATGACTGCAGCCATGTCAAACATTTCAGTTCTTGTTCAGCCGTGATGTGAAAGTTCTTCACGGTCCAGTACTTATCTTAATTAGCACGGACTGGCCTCTGCCTGCACTTACACGTCAAGACCAGCGTCACAGTAACACGTTTAAATCCTGCATATAGTCACATATGTTCAGACCAGAATAGAAAGAGTGAACTATGATAAAGGGACAAAATGAAAGTCTTCTTCCAGATGTAAAAAACCCATTTGTAATAGGTGGCTAGAAATCCAGCTTTTGATTTTGCTCAACAGTCTTTACCCTATACTTCTAGATAAGGACATATTTATTTTATTTACATCATCTAATGATTTTAGCACATGTATTAAAAACATGATATCCTACAAGCGCCAGACCTTCTTGTTTTGAATGTCACCAGCTCCTAAAAAACAGCAGTTTTTAGACTGCCAAGAATTTTAGCTAAAAAGCTGAGAAGCTAAAATTATAGGAGCAAATATCACAGATAAAGGAAAACCAAACGTTTTACACTGGTAAAATTTCATCAGAGCTGTAGTTTATCACATGCTGTAGTAGATTGTCATTTATCTGAAAGCAGTGGTTCCCGGCCTGGTGGTTTCAGGGCTCAAATGAGGATTTTAGTGTT